ATACTTGCAAACATGGAAATCACTGACACCTATTAAGGAGACAAAAACAGAAAGAGAGCTCCCAGTGCAGCGTAGTAATTCGCTTATAAATATATAAAATAAAGCAGACAGAGGTGCCCTTTAGGTGTTACACTCACAAGATTGGAGTGGTAAAAGCACCACTCGTTGCTATAGCACTCAGGGAGGATCAGCCCCTAGAGTGTGTGGGATCCGTGGAAAGGAAGCTTGCAATCCGGATCTCAGGTAAGTATGAAAGGAAGCTTGCAATCCGGATCTCAGGTAAGTATACTTTATTAATAACAATTAAAAAACAGCAAAACTTGTTATGGAGTTAGTTAGTCCGCTCACCAGCCTCAGGAAACCGCAAAGAAAGTTCCATATACTTATGTAATGTAAAAAAATCTTCCGGCTGCTATCCTGGTTGCTGTTGCTGACTATCTCCAAATCACTTCCTGGTTTCGGGACATTTTATGTACACAGGGTTACTTTCACTCTCTATAAGAGGTCCATAGTGAATACGATTTTTATTTCTTTGTTGTTGTGCACCATCACTACTGTAAGTTATTAAATGTTTCTCTATCATAGAATCATAGATGTGAGTACCTGCTGTCCTATGAGAAGCATTGGATTGGACCATCATCCTGGAGGCACACATCCAGGATGACATCAGATAAGGAGGAGCTGCAGCAGCTAACTAACGCTAAAGTGTCAGTTTAAGCAGTCCTCTGCAAGCTCTGCCATCTTCATCAGTGCTATACTCTTACACATGGTGGAGAGTACAACCCTGTTATCTATGGTGGATCCAGCAAGAACACGTCTCCCTGACCGAGAAGATGTTGACCAAGCTTGACGATGCTAGCTTTTCCCTACTTTGTCTTGTGATTTTTTTTTTTTTTTTGTCTTTGGAATCTTAGTAAAATTCCAACACAGTTAATATGAGTATTGCATTGAGATTAGATTTTATCATTATGAAATACTCAAAAGTTCTATTTTGGAGGCTGAGCTGCTAAAGCCATAAAACTTGCTAGCAAACGAAAAGGAACGAAAGGAAAAAAAATACACGCAGTCCCATGCCAAGGCCAAGTTCTCCCCGCGGCACAATCTGCAGGGAGAGTGACATCCCAGGGGAAGGGCTGATGGAAGGACTTGGCCAGCATGGAAGTGGAACCTTGCCACCATGCATACTGCTGACTGATGCCGAATATGTACAGATTTAGCATTACCCAGCCTGGAACTCTCCTCCTAGTCAAACTAGCAATGACACTGGATGTAGTGGAGTTACACCTTCAACATCATAGAGCTTTAACTCTGTGTTTCAAACTGAAATGCTACCCACACAGACTTAAAGCACCATTGTCACGACTTGTACGTGACTT